TCATCACTCTCTTCCAATTTTTAAAACCACACTTAATAAACTAAAGAAGATTTTAACATCTACTTCTGACAAGATATTAGAAATTAAGTATCACCATTGTTATATAATATTATTCTAGAGGCTACTGCCAATGCAGTAAGAAAAGAAAGATAAATATAACATTCAACTATCAAAATGGAGGCATAACTATTGTTATTATTTGAAAGTGATTAAGAAAATCTATTAGAACAGAGGGTTTAATATGTGGAATTCTTGTTTTTGATATAACAACTACAGTTACAAAATGTAATAGGAAAAGATCATGAACATAGTAAAAACCAAAAAACATCAAATGTCTAAGAATGAACTCTTCAAGAATGGTGCAGAATTCAAATAAAGAAAACTGCAAAACTTTGCTTATGGACATAAAAAGAAATTCAAATAAATAAAATAATTTAAAAGTTAGATGATACAGGGTTGACAGAGATGCAGGAAAACAAAATATTTCATACACCGTTGCAAAAATGTAAATTGGCAAACCTCTTTAGAGGACAACTTTGGCAATATCTATCAAAATTTAAATGCATGTAACATTTGACCCAGAATTCTACTTCTAGAGGCTTGTCTTACAGATTACACACACATACATACATGTGTATGTATGTGCACACATGAATGCACATGCAAGGCAACTCAATATAGCATTGCTCTCATAGCAAAAAGCTGGAAACAACATAAATATTAAAAAACAAAAGACTGATTAAGAAAGATGGCATATCAGCATTATAAAATACTATGCATCCATATTATAGATAGTATGATCATTTTATTGAAAATTTTTCATAAATATATAATTTTTAATAAAATAGACAAGACGGACATCTAAATATTATCAATGTACCTTTATCTGCATGGCAGAGTTTCAGTAACTTATTTTCTTCCCTATGCTTTTCTTTTTTTTTTTTTTTTTTTAACATCTTTATTGGGGTATAATTGCTTTACAATGTTGTGTTAGTTTCTGCTTTATAACAGAGTGAATCAGTTATACATATACATATGTTCCCATATCTCTTCCCTCTTTGTCTCCCTCCCTCCCACCCTCCCTATCCCACCCCTCCAGACAGCCACAAAGAACCGAGCCGGTTTCCCTGTGCCATGCGGCTGCTTCCCACTGGCTATCTACCTTACGTTTGTTAGTATATATATGTCCATGTCTCTCTCTCGCCCTAACACACCTCACCCTTCCCCCTCCCCATATCCTCAAGTCTGTTCTCCAGTAGGTCTGTGTCTTTATTCCTGTTTTACCCCTAGGTTCTTCATAACATTTTTTTTTCTTAAATTCCATATATATGTGTTAGCATACGGTATTTGTCCTTCTCTTTCTGACTTACTTCACTCCGTATGACAGACTCTAGATCTATCCACCTCATTACAAATAGCTCAATTTCGTTTCTTTTTATGGCTGAGTAATATTCCATTGTATATATGTGCCACATCTTCTTTATCCATTCATCCGACGGCGGGCACTTAGGTTGTTTCCATCTCCGGGCTATTGTAAATAGAGCTGCAATGAACATTTTGGTACATGACTCTTTCTGAATTCTGGTTTCCTCAGGGTATATACCTAGTAGTGGGATTGCTGGGTCATATGGTAGTTCTATTTGTAGTTTTTTAAGGAACCTCCATACTGTTCTCCATAGTGGCTGAACCAATTCACATTCCCACCAGCAGTGCAAGAGTGTTCCCTTTTCTCCACACCCTCTCCAGCATTTATTGTTTCTAGATTTTTTGATGATGGCCATTCTGACTGGTGTGAGATGATATCTCATTGTAGTTTTGATTTGCATTTCTCTAATGATTAATGATGTTGAGCATTCTTTCATGTGTTTGTTGGCAGTCTGTATATCTTCTTTGGAGAAATGTCTATTTAGGTCTTCTGCCCATTTTTGGATTGGGTTGTTTATTTTTTTGTTATTGAGCTGCATGAGCTGCCTGTAAATTTTAGAGATTAATCCTTTGTCAGTTGATTCATTTGCAAATATTTTCTCCCATTCTGAGGGCTGTCTTTTGGTCTTGTTTATGGTTTCCTTTGCTGTGCAAAAGCTTTGAAGTTTCATTAGGTCCCATTTGTTTATTTTTGTTTTTATCTCCATTACTCTAGGAGATGGGTCAAGAAGGATCTTGCTGTGATTTATGTCATAGAGTGTTCTGCCTATGTTTTCCTCTAAGAGTTTGATAGTTTCTGGCCTTACATTTAGGTCTTTAATCCATTTTGAGCTTATTTTTGTGTATGGTGTTAGGGAGTGATCTAATCTCATACTTTTACATGTACCTGTCCAGTTTTCCCAGCACCACTTATTGAAGAGGCTGTCCTTTCTCCACTGTATATTCCTGCCACCTTTATCAAAGATAAGGTGACCATATGTGCATGGGTTTATCTCTGGGCTTTCTATCCTATTCCATTGATCTATCTTTCTGTTTTTGTGCCAGTACCATACTGTCTTGATTACTGTAGCTTTGTAGTATAGTCTGAAGTCAGGCAGCCTGATTCCTCCAGCTCCATTTTTTGTTCTCAAGATTGCTTTGGCTATTCGGGGTCTTTTGTGTTTCCATACAAATTGTGAAATTTTTTGTTCTAGTTCTGTGAAAAATGCCAGTGGTAGTTTGATAGGGATTGCATTGAATCTATAGATTGCTTTGGGTAGTAGAGTCATTTTCACAATGTTGATTCTTCCAATCCAAGAACATGGTATATCTCTCCATCTGTTTGTATCATCTTTAATTTCTTTCATCAGTGTCTTATAATTTTCTGCATACAGGTCTTTTGTCTCCTTAGGTAGGTTTATTCCTAGATATTTTATTCTTTTTGTTGCAATGGTAAATGGGAGTGTTTTCTTGATTTCACTTTCAGATTTTTCATCATTAGTATATAGGAATGCCAGAGATTTCTGTGCATTAATTTTGTATCCTGCTACTTTACCAAATTCATTGATTAGCTCTAGTAGTTTTCTGGTAGCATCTTTAGGATTCTCTATGTATAGTATCATGTCATCTGCAAACAGTGACAGCTTTACTTCTTCTTTTCCGATTTGGATTCCTTTTATTTCCTTTTCTTCTCTGATTGCTGTGGCTAAAACTTCCAAAACTATGTTGAATAAGAGTGGTGAGAGTGGGCAACCTTGTCTTGTTCCTGATCTTAGTGGAAATGCTTTCAGTTTTTCGCCATTGAGGATGATGTTGGCTGTGGGCTTGTCATATATGGCCTTTATCTGCATGGCAGAGTTTCAGTAACTTATTTTCTTCCCTATGCTTTTCTATGTTTTTCAAATTTTCTATAATACTTGTGTATTGTAATGAGCAGGGAAAAGTAATGCAAGCTCTATCCGTGGATGAAAGGAATTCCAGTACCTAATTTGTACTTGCTCACTTATAATATGCATTCAAAGGCATTGCCTCAAAATGCTATGCTTGCAGTAGCCAACTTGCAAAACTCAGAATAAATATTTTTCATTTTTCACCAGTCTCTACCACTGTCTCAATGAATTCAATACCGTAACCAATGATGTAATTACGTTCTGATCTTGGATCAAGAAGCACAACTGCCACTCTGCTTGTGTAAAGATAGGGGGAAAGACAGTGATGGGAGCAAGCAGGGGAAAACTGGGTATTTATCCTGCAAGCCTCAAATCTTCAATTTTATCCGCTACAGGAAGCAGAGGTTACTTTTGCTTCAACAACTTTGGTTTATTCCCGTGAGAAGTGTGATTCATTACGTTTATGCACAATGATCTACTGCTTAAGTAAGCCAGGAGCTTATCAGAGCAGGAAACTGAGGCATATGCTTTAAGGTTTAGATCCCATCTAACTATATCTCGACCATGATAACTGAGAAGTGGAGCTCAGCATGAACATGCTGTTCGTGATACACACACTTACAGTTCCCCTGTCACTGTCAATGTGCAGTACTTGAGAAAATGTTCCATAGCCCTACACTGTTTACTTCAGAGAGAGCCCTAAACACATTTGGGGAAAATGTTTTATACCTGCGATCTTGATGACTTCCTAGAACACGCTCCATCACAGGAAACCTGGGAACTTCCCCAGATCCATTTTAAGGAGTTAAATGCTTTTGATTGTAACTGTTAGTGGCTTCCCAACTTTTTTTTTTTTTTTTGCGGTACGCTGGCCTCTCACTGTTGTGTCCTCACCCGTTGTGGAGCACAGGCTCCGAACGCGCAGGCTCAGCGGCCATGGCTCATGGGCCCAGCCCCTCCGCGGCATGTGGGATCTTCCCAGACTGGGGCACGAACCCGTGTCCCCTGCATCGGCAGGTGGACTCTCAACCACTGCGCCACCAGGGAAGCCCAAGCTCCCCAACTTTCTGTAAGAGAAGCTAAGAGACAGTAATCTGGAAGGAGGAGGGGCTGGGAGCAGCACCTTTCAAAATTTTTTACCTCGATTTACAGTAATGGTTATTTTATTTATTTCACATTGTGGCCCATTACAAATATATGTGTAACATGCATAAATATATACACACAAACATGTAATCATATTCCTAAAATAAAAGTTGTATGAAACCATACATATGTTATGTGTGACACACTTTGACATGTTCTATTCTATTACGTTGATGTGTTAGAGTCTATTCCATGCTACTAAAAATTCTGCCCAAATCTCTCTAAAATTATTCCAGCAGTCCATCATGGTGGCAACCCAAAGCTGGAAATGCACTGGGAAGGGGTCCTCAGGGCCTGGATTTATGATCCCTTTGGAGTGCTGGAGTGAGCTATGTTCTCCCCAAGTCCCTTGGCATCACAGGTGGTGGGAACTTTTTGCTCTGAGTTCTCAGAGGAGAAAAGCTTGAGACCTTATGAGAAGTGGGAGTGTTCAGAATCACAAATTTCTAAAAGCTCATCTGTGGAAATCAAATCTACAGAGATGACTCAAGTTATCGGCCCTGTCTCACAATCCCTTTTTGACACCCTGGCAGGGGGAGGGGAAACCGGAGGCAGAGTTACCGTAGGAAGAGCTGTTGAAGAGCTCGATGTTAAAGAAGGCGTAGTCTCCGCTGGTCATCCCGTGCCTGTGCGCCGCCAGCATGATGCCGCGGATGGTGTCGCTGCTCGCACACATGATCACCACTGCGGGGAGGAACAAACAGACGCGTGAAACGCCCCTGCGCGGAGGACAGCATCTGATGAGGAACAGGGCACGGCTAAAGTCCTAAAGAATCCTCACAAATTATTCATGAATTACAAAGGGCAGTATAATAGCTTGACAGCGGAGAAAGCTATCCATCGCCACCATAACCAAGTGATGGACGTCAACATCACCCACCATGGGAGCAGACTCAGGAGTCTCCTGCTGTAACACACCCCGGGCCCCAAACCTCACAATGGGCCACCTGAATCCAATCAGAAGGAAGCCGCTGCAAACCCAACTTGGGGGACAGTGTATAGAATAGCGGACCTGCGCCCTTCAAAGTGGTCACTTTCATGAAAAACAAAGATGGCCTGAGGAAATGGTCTAGACTAAAAGAGACTTAGAGAAACAGAAAGCTGACTGCAGTGTGTGGCCCTGGATTGGATCCTGGACCTTAGAAAAATAATAATAAAAGTTTTTCTATAAAGGGCATTATTGAGACAACTGGAGAAATTTGAATAAGGTCTGTAAATTGGATAATAGTATTGTGTTTGTGTTAAAGTTCTTGCTTTTCATAATTCTGCTGTGGTTATATGAGTGAATGTCCTTGTTCTTAGGAAACACACTTCAGTTTTCAGGGGTAAAAGAGCATGATAGCTCTATTTACTCTCAAATGGTTCATAAAAAGATAGTAATATTTGTGCATGTATATGTACATGTGTATATATTTGGAGGGGCAAGGGAGGGAAGGGGGAGATTAGAATGACAAAGCATAGCAGCAGAATGCTAACCATTGGTGAAAATCTGGGTGAAGGGTATAGGAGGTGCTTTATACGTTCTTACATCTTTTCCAAACACACACAGTTGTTTCAAAATGAACTCCTTTAAAAAAATACTTCAAATAAATTCCCAGATTTGCCCAATATAAGATAGTGAGGCTTGTCAACTGCTTTTTACACTTTTACTAGCATAGTAAACCTATTTTCCTGAGAAAGCTTTCATGTGGCAAATCAGAGGATGCCGCGAGTGCTACAGGCTTTCTGCAGTCTGAATGTAGAACCCTTTTTCTCAACATATATAGGAAATAGTTACCAAGATTCCACGTCCCCCCGCCATGGGCTCTCAGTTCACAACCACACTGTCAGAGCTGAGAGGCTTTAAGCAGCTGCAGAATAGTGTTGCCTGCCACGTAAGAGCTGCAACGGACTAGAGGGAAGTGGGGACCTGGCCTTCATCCAGTTATTTTGATCACTGTTGATGGCCCCTGGCCCCCAAGACAGTGCCCGCTGTGCTTTTCTGCACACATGGAGGGCAGGAGAAGCCTGGGTGCCACAACCACATTATCGCCATGCGTGCCAGCCCTGCAGGTTGTGTATGTTCTTTGTAAAAGCATGGGCGCTGAAAGATGCAGAACAAACTTCAGGCTGTGCCAAAGCCTCCTTGGCAGCCTGCACGGAGGGCCAGGCGCTTGTTGACATTTGGTTTACTGCACAGGTTAATTCAGAGTGTTAGATCATGACTCTGACATTTCTTACGACAAAAGGGCTCAGGTGACAGGCTCAAAGTCTGCAGAGCAAGTTTTTAAAGCAATACAAAACTCCGAAAGATTTATAACTGTGCGAGTGGGTGTTGTTAGTGCCTGGAAATATAGTTATATATTTGGGGTAAATAGTCAAATTTCAAGATGTCTCAGTAAGGAAGCTTTTGAAGAAACTCCTCATTACTCACTATGACCTAGACACTTGTTTTAGCTTCGATTTGATTCCAGTCCTTTAAACGACAAAAGATCCAAGGTGTCTCCCAAAACAGCCTGGGCTGAGGCTGGACAAGTTTGAAGTGTGTGGATTCCAAGGGTGGGCATCACCGGGAGGGTCCAGGAAGCTCTGGCTGACTCTCCACTGGCAGACCTCATCATCTTTTGATCACTTGACCATAGTCCAGAGTCTGGCTCTAAACCTTAAGACACAGAACCTGATTCTGCCAGCACATAAAGAGTAGAGTCATTGCTTGGGGGAGCAGAGTCCCGATAACCTAACTCAGATGTTTTTAGATAATCTGAAGTGAAGATTAATTTCAATGAGGACCAAAGTAGTCACAAACACGTTTGTGCCGACATAGACCCGGGAGTGCTCGTTGAGGAGCCAAATTATAAGCAGAAGGATGTCAGTGAGGGTGACGTCAGAATCAGGGAGATCAGCTGCAGGGTTCAAGCATCCAAAGGCATCAGGTCTTGATAACCCAAAGCATCCGTCTAAGAGCTACACCCGGCCCAGGCCTGAACAGGCTGTGTCCTCAGGCCAGAGCACAGGCTTCCCCAAGTCCTGGATGGGCTGTGCCCAACGCTTCTTTTCTATTTTTACAGCCCTGGCCCTTCTCCTTCGCTCTCTTCCCATCACCACTAAGACCAACCCCTTGTGATAGACACATTCTTTCTTTAAATGTCAGTACCTGCTTGGACCAAGCAAGAGTGACCCAGAGCAGCACTGAGCCTATCTGAGCAGACTGGAATTATTGTAGATCTCATCTGTTTTGTGTGGACAATGTGGTCCAATTCTGAAAACGAAATCCTAACTCCCATCTTCATGGGCCAGGTATTGTTTTTCTTCCACAAAACAAACCCATAGTGCACATTATCGCCCAGTTTAAGTTAGAGCAAGCACTTAATGACACTGGCCGAGCAGTCAGAATGCAGTCCTTCTAGATTTGTAGAATGTTCCCTAATCTCTTATGGCTTTTTCATTCATGCCTAATTCAACAGCAAGAATTTTTAGCAACATGCCTCTATACAATCTTTCGGAAGGTTGAAAATAGTCTTCACTGAAATAGCTTTCTCTTCTTACTCATGTTTCATCAGTTTACATAATAACTAATTAAATTGCATACTTATAATAATAAGTACAACTGGTATAAACAGATTTATGAGAAATGTGCTGGCAAACATGGGAGAGGTATACCAGCTGCCAGCGTTCACCAAGAGCCAATAAAGTTCATAGAGAAAAGGAGAGCATCAGCTAATGCTGCAAGCTGCTTAAGTGGAGGTCAATTAAAATAATTTCTGCTATACTTGAGTATATTTAAATATATGAACATTTAAACATATATTAAGTATATTTAAGTATATTAAATATATATTTAAATATATAAGAACTAACATTTTTGGTCAAATTCTAGAAGAGGAAACGGTGACGCGATTCCAAGTTTCTGGATAGACTTTTCATCATTCTGCTCTATTGTCTTCCCCCTTGCCAAAGAACTTGTGATACTCCATGTCACCCTCCACTATCTGATTCCCACAATGTCTTCTGTTAAGTGGCTTCTCCCTACAGCAACACGTTCTTGCAATCACTCTAAGAACAGCAGAGAGGAGTACAAAGGGGTGGCTAGAGAAGTCAATTCAGAGACCCCGAAACAATCCAGGAAGCCTACCCGAGCTAGGGTGATACCCTTTCCACCTCTCAGGTTTACATCTGGAGCAAGCTCTAACAGAAGGACACTCCTCCTCCTTGGGGCTTCCCCAGTGGCGCAGCGGTTGAGAGTCCGCCTGCCGATGCGGGGGACGCGGGTTCGTGCCCCGGTCCGGGAGGATCCCACGTGCCGCGGAGCGGCTGGGCCCGCGAGTCATGGCCGCTGAGCCCGCGCGTCCGGAGCCCGTGCTCCGCAACGGGAGAGGCCACAGCAGTGAG